GATCTCCTTTAGGATGGACTGGTTGGATCTCCTTGCAGTCCAAGGGGCTCTCAAGAGTCTTCTCCAACACCACAGTTCAAAAGCATCAATTTTTCAGTGCTCAGCTTTCTTCACAGTCCAACTCTCACATCCATATATGACCACTGGAAAAACCATAGCCTTGACCAGACAGACCTTTTCTGGCAAAGTAATGTTTCTGCTTTTTAATATGCTATCTAGGTTGGTCATAACTTTCCTTCCAAGGAGTAAGCGTCTTTTAATTTCATAATAGATTGATTCGAATAATGTTTGTCAAAGATAAAGACATTAACACAAGGTATAATATTTACACAATACATAAATAGATAAGGGAGGGAGGCAAGAAATAAAAGACAGGAGAAGAAAGAAAGGAAGTCATGGAGGAGGAAAGAAGGGGTGTGGATGAATGTAGATGAATATTTAGGCCTTTAGGGAAAAATTTAGTAGGTACTAAGTAGGTACCTGTTAAGAATTTAGTAGGTATTTTTATCATGGCCACTTCATGATCAAAATAGTAATAAGACCATGTAAGATGCATTTTAAGGATTACCCAAGTCCAATTAAATCTAAAATACCTTGAAATCATAAAGTCCTACATTTAAAAATATACTTTGAGACTAAGAAGTGATCTTGTAGGATATCTCTCTGTCTGCCTTGATATGTGTATCATTAAAAATCAGATTTTATTGTGTACATGTAACCTGACATAAATTGTTTTTATTCATTTTCAGTTTATTTATATATAGTTACAGAAATTATAAACCATATTATATTGTTTTAAGGAGATTTTCCCCCATAATATTCATGCAGTGTTCAATTCAAAGATATTTATTAACCTTCTTATTCAGGTCAGAACCTTGATCTAGAAATTTAAATCTTGTTCAGGGTGTCTGGGTCTTAGTTCAAGAAGGTCAATAGCAGAATAGCCATGCCTGATGCTGCTTTGTTCCGTATATGAACTGTTTGGCTGAAAGAATCAAGTCTCCACTTAATTATGAAAGCAAACATAATGTTTTACAAAACACTGAACTTTGAATTGCCTATTAAGGGAAATTAGGGTGTACTGCTCTTCAAATATACGTTGTAGGTGCCATATTTAAGGAAATAACTGAAATAGACTTTTCTCAGAATCTAGAGTCAACCAGTTACATAGGATTTAAATTGGTTTTGAGTTAGAGGATCTTCAGATGGTGTTTTACTTTGAAATATGTAATCAAAATAATAGTTTTCAGAAGAATAATTGAGTTCCAAACTTAGCTGCATCTTGGCTCTATAAAAGTAGATACATTAATGTGAATTCTGAGAAATTCTTGATTTTCCATTCTTCAGCATCAGTTCAATAATCATTTACACATCATTACCAGGTAAATACTAAATATTAATTGAATCCCTGTTCTGGTTTGGTCAGCGTGCTAGACCTGGGTATAAAATTAATGACAAGGCCTCCTCTTCAGAGTTTATAATCTTGGTTTATATATGTACCTGTGTTCCCCACAAGCTCTCTCCTGAAGTTATACCATAAAAATTTACCTGCCTCATTGGTTCACCAGGTATTTCCTACGTACCAATTTTAGGGAAAACATAAACCTTCTAATGAGATTTGAATGTACTAAGTTCCTGCATAGCTTCTTCTGTGTCCGCTCTTGCTTGCTACCGTGCCAAGAAGGAATGTGTGTGTGATGTCAAGGTGTTTTTGTTTCCCTTTTAGAATCTCTACTTAATCCAGAAGTTAGAATGGCACAAATAATATTCATAATTCAAACTCTTTTAAATATAATCCAATCTTCAAAGGTTCAGAAGGCATAGGGATTTTATAGTTACGCCTTCATCATTATGAAACATTACTTTTAAATCTCCTGTAGATGTACTGAGTGTCAGATAGTGAGGAATTCCATTTGATATGTCATCAGATAAATCATACCAAATTGTAATTGAATTCTAGGATTCCTGAAATCCTGTTTACTTTCAATATAGAATTATATTCATCGAATGTAGAAAAAGAAATTCTTAAGCTAGTTCTGTGATTTTGGTCATTCCTCCTTAAAAAATTGTTGAAAACAAAGGTTATACTTTGTACTCATGTTCCAGGAAAGGAAGAATAACAGGAATACAATATAATTTAATCTTTGACTTTTAGATGAGGCTGTTTACAAAATTAAAACAGATGGCTAGTGATTTCAGATGAGAGATGATGAGCGGTTTTCAGAAATGCAAGAATTTATTTCATTTTATTCATCCAGGTAGAAAACAAGGTTTTCTCTAGTTACTTGTAGGTTTCTGAATTCACCTTGCTGTACAGAAATTGAGGGACTAAAAACAGGTAACAAAATATTAACAAAATATTTTGAAAGGAGAGTAGTTAACCTAAAATGTGTACTTAGCATTTCTCCCTCTCATTTATTTTCATTCATATTTTTCCCAGAGAGGGACACTTCCAGAGTTTCCTGTAAAACCAGATCCCTACCTGACTTCTGACATGCTGAATTGTGCTCATATAAGCCTCCTCCTAAAATGAGTGCAGAAATATTTGCTGAATCTCAGGGTTTCTGTGATCCCAGTGAGCTTTAATATATTTCTGGGTTACATCTTTTTAGGATTGTTCTTCTCTGAAGATATGTCTAATTATTCTGTCTTTGCAAAAAAAGAAATATCTTAATGAAGGACAGATTTTCAATTAGCAGGTAACCAAAAATGCTCAGAATTTGAGGGTATCCTTTTCCTGTGACTATAGTAATCCTTCAGTTCAGTGAAAAGTAGGCAGAACATTTATGCTATTGATTCATCTTCCAGTGCCCACAATGATTGCTGCATGGCAATAAAATAATACAAGAGCACCTCACATTATACTACAACTAGCGATTTCATGGAAGACAAGGTACATCAAACCATTTGACTAGTTTTGGAAAGACAGAACTAGTTCGTGAGGAAAAGGATAATTTTATAGCTATTTTGAAATTAAACAATGTTCCATAGTACCTGAGAGACCTGCATGTGAATCCTTGAGTCTTTTCTTTGAAATTGTGTGAAATTGTGTCCAAGCTATGTAACTTTTCTGTTACACAGATTACTCACCTATTTTAATAAAATATGCCTAAAACCTGTTAGATGAAATTAGTGTGAAATTTAATATTATGATTAACATCAAAGGTATGTATGTGGCACACGGTAAAAACTTAATACATATTTCTTTTATTTGTTGCACAACAAGTGGGCACATCCTATTCACTTTGTTCTTCAGGAAATAGCTCTGATTTTGAGGCTTGTTTATCAAAGTAGTGGTTGACTTTTAATTCTGTGAACAAATGGCAGGATGAGCTTTGTTTACTCACTTTATGTAGAGTGAACATGAACTCTATAATAGTCTGTAAAACAATAAATTACTTGTAAAAATAAATAGGTATCTAACAGGAAACCCAGAGAAAATGGAACAGAAAAATTGTCTTTTATACAACATATAATTATCCTGCCAGGGGTCTTCAACCTCCAGGCTGCAGACCAGTACCTCCAGTCCTAATAGCAATGGTATTAGATTAGAAATAACGTGCACAACAAATGTAATGCCCTTGAATCATCCTGAAACCTACCCCCCACCTCCAGTCCATGGAAAAATTGTCTTCCATGAAATCAGCCTCTGGTGCAGAAAAAGCTGGGGACCTAGATGATTTTCCTACACCTAGTTGGAAAAAGAAGCTTCTCCATCTTTGACTGCAACCTGTAATCTTAGTTAGACAACAACTAATTGCTGAGTGAGTTTAGTGAGTTTAACAAATGACTAGTTACAGAATTAAAATCAACTAGGGAAATATCATGGTGCTTCAAGGAATGAGCTTATCAGAAAATAATATATGTGCTCAAAATTTATGGTTACCACATTCTGCCATGCTGTAAATTTCTTTCCGGCTATTGATGTGAATTTGTGTAAACTACCAGCAAGTTGGGGCTTCCCTGGTGGCTCATGGTAAAGATCCACCTGCCCAGAGACTTGGGTTCGAACCCTGGGTCAGGAAGATCCCCTGGAGAAGGAAATGGAAGCCCACTCCAGTATTCTTGCTTGGAATTCCCATGGACAGAGGAGCCTGGTAGGGGTTCATGGTCACAACGAGTCGCACATGACTTAGCAACTAAGCCTGCACACACGCACCAGCAGTTTGGCAGTGAGATGGTACCCAAGCAAGTTCTTCCTATTTTTCACTTCTTATCTTTTCCCTTTGGTTAACTGAATGGGAAACCCATTTAGAATCAAGGACAAAGCCCAATTCTGGTGAAAAGTACCACTGACACTGGCGTATGCTTTCTTCTGACCGGAACAGAGATTGCACACCACAGCTCTTCTGATTCCACAGAAGTTCAGAAGTTCCGGTGTCAAGGGACACTGCCTATCAACAAAGAAACTCTTCCATGCACTGTACTATGTGGAGCCCCCATTAGCACTGAAAGAACTGAAGGAAGGGAGATCTCAGGCTTGCTGTCCATGAGTTTACAGCAGCCAGCATTTACACTGTGTATCTCCAGCATGGTCATGGGTAATAACGTTGAATGTGAATGCCTTTAGGCTGGAGTGTCCTCCTAGTCAACTACAGTCCCTTCTGAAACCTGTTATCTTAAATTTGTGGGTTTGTCTTTGCAACTCTTGACACAGAGCCAAGTGTTACAAACTCAATTCCTTCTTTTATTGCCTTAAATAATTAAAACTGTCTTTAATTGAGAAGGAAAGTAATAAGTAGAGACATTACAGAATCTAAAATACCAAATGTTGTGCAAAAAAAAAAAAAACACACACAACAAGTGGGAACCTAAAAGTCAGCAGAGTGAAAGAAGAAAATAGCAAATCCATTTTGAAGCAACATGTAATTAACCTATTGAACATCATGGTTTATATAGTTGGAAAGGAATTAATTGCTGGGCATTTTTAACATGGCACACATCAAGGAATTTTTATAGACATTGTCTAAGAAGTTGCAGAACATTTTCAAGAACACGAAATGGCTTTGCGACTGGTTCCAGCAGTAGACTGTACATAGCCAGCAGTTCCTCTGTACAGTGCTGGCCGGTGTGGTTGGCCATGTTTGTCCATCATTTCCATCTTTTGTGTTAAAGCAGTCAGGAACAAACCATCTCAAGCTATATGAATTTTTAAAGACAATGTAAAAGAAGTAATTTAAGGTCTATAAATGTTTTCATCGTTATTAACTGGCCGCCATTATTTTGTTCTGGGAAAGAAGGAGTGTGTACAAGCGTATGTATGCAGAGGTGTGCATGCTTGTGTGTTTATGTGACTCACTCTGTCGTGTCCAAGTTTTTCTGGGCTAGTAGCTCTTAGTCACGAAGCACCAGAACTGTGTTAGGTCTGACAGACAGCCTCAGGTGTGCAGCCCCAGAGCAGCAGCTCCTGTGCTTGCTGTTAACTGCTAATCAGGGGAAGGCGTGCTGCTGAAATTGCATTTCTGACGCTTGCTTTCCCACTATCTCCCTCAAGGCAATGTTATTGTGACAGGCCAAAGAGTAGGGGAGAAGAAATTCTGGCTTTGAAAGATTGATAGAATTTTCCTTCCCTTTCAGGTCCTAAGCCCTCAGAAAAACTTGAATGTCTCACTGGTTAACGACTTCCAAATGGGGAAGAAAAAAAAAAAAGAGTTTTCCTACTATGGAAAAGAATATGAGTAAGATTCGAGCCATAGCCTCTTTCCTTGGAGAAACTGGCTTTGCATCATTTCTCTCCTGTTCCTTCTCACTGCCTATAAACTCTACCTGACACTTCCCCATGGGCAATTTTTCCCCAACTCACCTCGCCAATAAGGGCCAAAGTCTTCTTGTTGAATTGTGATATTCCTTATTCTCAGTGGGCTTCCCCAGTTGCTCAGCTGGTAAAGAATCCACCTGCAATGAGGGAGACCTGGGTTCGATTCCTGGGTTGGGAAAATCCTCTGGATAAGGGAACGGCTATCCACTCCAGTAATCCAATATTATTCTCAGTACTTACAAAAGACTCACCATATCTTTCCTCCATTACAAGGCTTTAAAAAACATCCCATTGTCTACCAATTGAGGCACATGTATTTCCATGGCATCTGGTGTCCAGTGTGATGTTGGAGCCTATTTTCCAACTTCGTCTTTTGTTGCTTCTTTTCATAGACTGTATCCTTCAGCTTTTCTCAGATAGATTGCTTTGGTATTCTTACAGGAGTGTTTTGTTGTGGAGTACTAATTAAGGAGCCTTTAACCTCCTTGGGCTTTTAACCTCCTAGGGCTTCCCTGGTAGCTCAGCTGGTAAAGAATCTGCCTGCAATGCAGGAGACCCTGGTTCGATTTTCTGAACCTTCAGTAAGAGAGCTTTACGATGAGATATGCTCTTGAACTTCACTTGCCTTCATTCCTTATTCATGCTGTTTCCTTGGCCTGAAATGTCTTCATAGCTAACTCATGATGCCTTAATGAAATCACCTCAATTCCTAGTTCAAAGAGATTTCACCTTCCTTTTGAATTCCCAAGGCAATTCATATTCATTGAATGCCTGCACATGCCAGGCAGTCTTGCTACTTGCTTTATATGCATTATTTCCCCTTAACTTTGTCCTTCCTGGTTCACAGTGAGTGATATTGAAATTTACTTCACAAAGGCCATCCCTCCTACCTCTTCCATCTTCTTCTCACCAGAGGGCAAGTTAGAGCTTAAATCTAAGCTCTCTAATCTTATTAGATGTCTAACATTCAGCAGTTTCTATCCTAGGTATGAAACACCATTTACTAATTTTCATAAAGGCAATATATTGACTCAGTTCTTGCCTAGACTTGCCATCTTACCCTCTGTAAGGATTCCAGCAGAGTATACCGGGATCTCAAAATAGTCTCATAAAAATGCTTGCTATAAAAATCTGGACTCCAAAAAAATGACTAATGAATTCCAATTTCCAGTGCTTATTTTATAACCCAGAGAAGTTCAAAAGAGTCAAAATCCAGGATATCTGATCATTGATCTGAGATGGGGAAGACTGGGTGAGAACAGCTGAAAAAATTAAAACTAAAGAAACATAATGAAGTTAGCTTTAACTTTTCAAATGAATACATAATAACAATGTGATATTCTAAAACCAACATAAAATGCCAGGAAAAATTTGACATTTTGAGGATGCTAATGGGTAAAGATTCAGAGCACATTAAGAGGGGAGATTGCACAATTTCCATTACCATCAATGAAACTAATATGGTAAAATTCACACATACTGCAGTGGAAGCATGACCTCAACTGTCATTGGACATGTTACTTTCTGTGGTGTGTGATTTTCTCCTCTAATTTGAGGCAATTTAATTTTCTGCCCACTTCACAGAGAAAGATCAGGCTGAATGACTGGAGCATTGATGTTGAACATCTATCTTCACACATTGTATTTACAATAAAATTGATTCTGTTATCCTTGATAACACTAAATAAAAAGAAAAAGCCACAGTATTCTTTAATATATACTCACCTTTGAAAATTAGAATTTGGACACACATTTTAGTCATACTTGGAAAATATCTTAGTAGGAATTTGAAAATTTAAAAACAAAGCTTTTTGTGAACAAAGAAGAAAATTCGTATTGAAGAACAACAATATATTAATTGTCTTACTGTAAAGTTTTAGGATGAATGATATATTGGAAAAGTTTCAATACTTTGATTCTGTGTTCATTTTAAATTTTTTCATAAATCAAATATGGAATAGTGGTTAAAAGGACAGTCTCTGGAACCAAACTGTTCACAGATTGATTCTACTGATAATCAGCTCTGTAATCTTAGGTGAGTTATGTAACATTTCTGGGCCTCAGTTTCCTTACTGATTAATTGAAAGTGTTAGAATTCCTACTTCTTAAGATCATGTAGTTAAAATGATTAATACCTTCAAAGCAGTTAGCTCATGGGGATGTCCAGTAAATGTTCATTATTGATATTATCATCATAAATATGCTACATATTATATTGGAAGAAACAAGACAAATTCTCATATTTGTTTTATTTTTATGCTCTTTCAAAATATATTTGATATGATTATTCTAGTTTACTCTATATTAGGGAAAGGGATATCAATGTAAACATGCTATATAAATAATGATTTTAGAGGACTCTTAATTCCTACATGTAAGTGAATAACACAGAATGGGACTTATTAACTAATCCATATACTATTTTTTATCTCCCTCTCCCTCTCTTAATCCAACATAGCCATTCAATCCAATTGCCTGAGTATATGGACCATTTCTTACTGGATTCTTCATTTTTATCATGTAACTCTGGCTTAGCACATAGTAGGCATTCAGTAAATATTAATCCAGTCCTTTTCAAAATAAATATTCCACTTTATTTGTACATTTATCCAACTAGCCAGTACACCCACCCATCCTTTATCATGACCTGGAGCCTTTCATCTTTAATCTGTTCCATCCAAGGAGCCATTTGAGCTCCATCACCTCCTGATTCCTATATACTGCTCTTAGTACAGCCTAATCTCTGTCTCCTTAACACTCACAATCATATTGAGTGCAGCAGTATTTAGCCCTGTTTATTTAGTTTCATGGTAAATTTGACTCTTCAACTAGATCATATGCAATTTAAGAGCAGAGATGAATTTGATACTTTTTTGTGACATCTTATAGTTTCATTAGAGTGTAATTCTTCCACTCTTAAAGGAAGAATTGCAATATTGCATTTGTATATTATATGTTTATAAATACACACAAATATATCATCATATGAAGTAGAGGAGTTAAGGAAAGCTTCTAACTCAGGGACACTAAATGAATATGTATTTCCCTTTTACCCATGGGCCAACTATGAGTTGGCCCTGTGTTTAACTTCTGCTACTATGGGAAATGCAGGATAGCAAATAAAATACTTTGAACTTTATTCTGAGTCTAATAAAGCTATTAATCAGTTATTGACACCCTTAACATTGAATTAATATAATTTCACATGCCATTCTAATGTGTTCTGTATCTCTCAAAATTTGATGTACCTAGCTCTAATTCTGTAAAGATTCAAAGAATTCAAAATTATACTGCAGTTAATCAAATAATGCAGTGTTTCACTATACAAAATGTAAGCAACTGTTTTATAAGAAATAACTCTTAGTTAAGTAAGGTAGACACTATTTTGTCCCCATAAATATAGATGAAGAAATTGAACTGCCCACCAGGCACCTCTGTCCAGGGATTCTCTAGGCAAGAATACTGGAGTGGTTTGCCATTCCCTCCTCCAGGGGTTCTTCCCAACCCAGGGACTGGACCCAGGTCTACCACTTTGCAGGCAGACTCTTTACTGTCTGAGCCACCAAGGAAGCCCCAAACTGCAAGAGGTTAAATAGTCAAAATCACACAGTTTGGAAATGGATGAACCAGAATTCAAACCTAGGAATTTTGACCCCAGAGCCCACATTGTAACTACCTTGCCGTATTGCTGGCAAACCCTATAGGTTGCCTACACAAAGCCTCTGCCATCCATCCTGAGAGCCCTTCTGTGTGATAGTCACTTTCCTGGTCTCCCTGAAGGCAAGGATGGATTATGTAACCTAGTTCTGGCCAACAGGATTAGAAGACATGCCTTCTGGGTCTTTAATTTTCTACACTGGCAAAAAAATAAAAAGATGTGTTAAAAGAGGCCCAGTTTCTTCCCTAATTTTAGATATTGATGTGTGAGGATGTAATGCTTAGAACTTCTGTAGCCATCTCGCAACTGAAAAGAAGGTCAAGAGAATTACAGAGTCACTCTGTGACTATACATATTTAGGCTTGTGTACTAACCCTTTACCTCCTTTCTTAGGAATGTCTTATACTGTGAGAATAGTAATCCTTTTTTTTTTTTTCTGCTAAAGCTACTTTTTGTTGAATATTGTTAACTGCAGTTCAAAACTTCCTAGTGATGAAACTATAAATCACTATGATTTCTTCCACTCTTAGATCTTGTCATAAAATATGACATTTTACTTCTAATCAGCAAGATTAGTATTCCCATATGAGTATTTATGAGCACCTTATGTTCTTTCAGGTTTTGATTTGGGTGTGATTATATTTGTAAGACTTTTTTCCTTTATATACCAATTTTTTATTCTTGGCCAAATATGAAACAAATACAATAATTTAATTTTTTCTGGTTTACTTTTTACTAATTCTAAGATTAGATCAGCACCTTGATTCATGAATTATTAGCTTGAAAACATGTTTTAAATTCCACTGGCAAATTTGACAAAGAAAGAAAACCTTAATTTTTAAACTGTGGATTCATTTGAATTATTTGACTTTTTCATATCATGTAATAGTCATAGTTAGCAAAATGGAAGTATAATTCAGTTTCATTTCCTTCTTTATATATAAGTTGAACTTAACGCTTGTGCTGTGTTAGCATCTGTCATATGAACTTCCCCAGGCCCCTCTCACCTAAACAATCACTCAGACATGAAAAAATATCTTTCCTTCAGATTTAAAAATTTGGATTTCAAAGGATACCATACATGTCCACTTTGTCTCATTGCCTTTCCCTGATCAGACTGAAGGTAAGAATTAATCACCATTTTAAAAGATTTTAGATTTTCTGTAAAAGAAGGTAATATAGTCTCAGTTTGCTTTAATATTTTTTGCTTGATTTTAGAAAACATTAATTCATTAGCAGTTAAACATTTTTGATATTTGAAAAATACATCTTTATTTAAGGCTAAGAGTTTAATTTTATTGTGATAAGTTAGGGTAAGACATATTTATTAGCATTAATAGAAGCAGATGCAAAATGTTGTAAACTATTAAGAAAAAAAAAATCATTCCTTAGGGAGCATTTCAACTGAAAGAAGCAAAAAAAAAAAAAAAAAAAAAAGAGCTTAGAGAAGCCTGCGGTTTACTCTGTAATTTACCTGTA